AAAACACTTGGGCTTATAGCGAAACAACTTAGAGCGGGGAATTTTTTTTCCATGGCTGACTTCCATTTGCACAAATTGTGTGTGGGGGAGGGAGGTTGCACAACTAAGAGCAGGGAATGGGAGGACTTATAACGCATCAGTTCCTACAAGCATCAGTGACTTCAGTGTGGAACAGATGTATACCGGGGCGACTTACAGCGGGGACGCCCTGTATTGTCAAGAGGTTAGCAGCACGTGTCTGTGCTTTGGACTGAATTCAAACACAGAATGTACTGTGTCCATTCTCCCCAGAGACGTTCCCTTTTCTTACCCTCGTCCATCTTGCTATGGTACAGCCTTATATATTGATGGCTGGGCTGGGCACCTGTACCTGTGCTTCACTGCTCATTGAGGCAGAGAGATGAGATTGGGACAAGAGTGAGATTGCTGGGACGCAGGGACACAGAAGCTTCTGCTGGTTTGTTACAGATCACTGTGTTACTTCCAATGGTTAATTGATAGATGGGGCAGCCAGACCTGTTCGGGCTGGGAGCCTGCCAGTCCTCTGCCTGATCAGATACTTAGTACTTGCCAGGGAAGTCTGTAAGGAAGAACTTGGTGCTGTCTGAAGTGCTGTTGGTTGCTCATTAGAGGGCACTGTTCTCTCTGTGGTGTAGGAGCCTTTTGCTGCCAGAACTTCCATCTTTCTGATGAGAAGTAAAGCTAAAGTCTTGACCTTGGACTTCCATGGCCTGTTTGCAAGTGTTGTGGAAGGGTTAATCCCAAGCTCCTGGCCATATCTCAGTGTGGGAATTAGAATATCCCTCCCTGAAATGTTAGATGGAGACAATATTTCTCCCTTACTGTCCTAAACTAGTGTTGTGTTTTTCGGTGTTGTCAAACAACTCCAGTGTTCCAGCCTAGGTGTAGCTGTGTTTTCAGGGGTGGATAAAGAAATCCTGTGCATAGCTTGTATATCAGTTTATTTCCTGTGGTGGAAAGAGGCATTATTAGATGTAAGGCATTGATACAGATTTTTATCAATTTTTATGCACAAGAGGTAATTTTTACCAAAAAAAAAACCCAAAAAAACCCCAAAGCACAAGTGCATCACCTGCATTGGGAATGGGCGTATCTTAGTTGATCTGTTAGGCAGAAGTTAAAACATTTGGTGATGTTAACTGTGAAATACAAGGGAAGTTAGTGAAACTTTTTTCTTATATGCCAAAACCACGATGCCCACAAATCTGTCAGGATGAGGACTTAGTTGCAGTTTTCATGGCCTATGGCGGTGTGTGATGCATACACTACGTGTTTAGCTCCTGATACTTTTGAGGCCACCAGGGACTTGATCGCCATGACGGTGCACTCCCCAACTTGGCAGGAATCAGCTGTGGGACCATCAGCGATGGGCAACCTAGACTAGAGAGTGGACCACATGAGTAGCCCTCCTTCATTTCTGAGGGCTGCAAGATTGTCGTAATCAAGATGGACTCCCAGGATAGGGTAGTTCTTTGAGTGTTTGTTCCTGTGCATTCCACTTCTGTGTGCACATGACTGGAAGATTTTTCCGCGAGCAGCTTGCAGTTGGGCTAGTCTGGGCACCCCCTGGAATGGCGCCTTCCTGGTGCCCAATATAGCACCCTGCCAACGCCTCTCCTCAGTTTCCTCCTACTGCTAGTGACTCTTACCTGGAACTTCCCTGTGCTCTTGCTCACAAGTGCAGCAGCTTCAGCCTGTTCCTCGGATAACTGGGTCCTGGGAATGGTGGAGGCAGGACACTCTATCCAGTTCATTCCCTCCTGCCTTCCTAGCCCTCTTGAGGGACCCTTCTGATTAGCTTCTCGTGCAGGAGGTACACATGCCCCTTGCATGGGCACAGTGGAGGAGGACCCCAGGGAGTGCAGGGCAAGGGGTTCTGCTCCCAATATTTCCTTATTCACGAGGCCAGGTGGGCTCAAGCCCATTCTGGACTTATGGAACCTAAACACCTTTATCAGCAGGCTCAAGTTTTGCCTGGTCTCCCTTGCCACCATCATTCCTCTCTGGATTTGGAAGCGTGGTGCGCCCCTTGATTTGAAGGGTGCACACTTTCACATTTCTAATAGCCCAGCTTGCAGTTGGCTCCTCAAGTGTCTGATCAAAGACCAGCAGTTTATCAGTTTACGGTACTGGTGTGTGGCCCTTCCATGGCTCCCTGAGTGTTCACAGAATGCATGGCAGTTGTGGCTGAATCATCAGGAAGCAAAGGGTGCACGTGTATCCATATCTGGAGGGCTGATAAAGGGCAGATCCAGGGAACAGGTTCTGGCACATGTGGTCTTGGCCAGTAACTTCTTCATGGACCTACGCCACCCTCTGAATGAACCCAAGTCCACCCTCATTCCAACCCGAAGAATAGAATTCATTGGGACTCTGTTGGACTCCACCATGGTGATGGCCTTCCTACCAGAGAGCTGCTTGCAGCTCATGTTATTCCTCATCCACCCCCCTCAGCAGTTCCCTACTGCCATGGGGTGAACCTGCGTGAGACTCTTGAGTCACATGGCAGCCTGCACCTATGTGGTGCAACATGCCTAGCGGTGACTATGGCTGGCGGAGGTCTACAGGCCCAGTAGACCCTCCACAGACAGACTGGTGCAGTTATTCAGGAGGCGCCATCGGGGTTTACTGCCGAGGTGTCCTTCCGGGTCTCTGTCTCCGCTGATGATGAGAACCAGAAGGCTGCTTGCGTGTGAGCTCGGTGATGGGCCGTGTCAACTTGTGCACTTAGTCTACACAGCAGACCCCAAGGGAGCCCCCAAAGACCACAAACCAGATAAGGATCGAAGGTGCCAGGCCAGGTTCATTGTTAAGTGAAGTACAGTAACAGTTGTCAGTAGACTCTACTGAGCCACTATGCACATGTACCTCGTACCAATGGAATGAGTCAATCAGTGGGAAATTTCTACTGCCCCCCGGTCATACAAAGACTGTCCCCCCAAGACACCACCTTATATACAGGTACAAACAAATCACACCTCACTGCTGATGTTGTCAGGTTACCACCCTCTGACACTACGTAGATACCACCCATCGCCTTGTATCTCATGGGTTTGATTAGATAATTTCTATTTATCATTTTAGATCCTTTCCTGAACCTGGGTCTGTATCTGTGAGCAGTGGGTACCAAGGTCTTTTTGAATGAGCTAGTGAGATCATGTGTTTTCCGCTTATGACCAGGACCAATGACTGTTCTGCAGTCAGTACCTAGCATCAATTGGTGTTTTGCATACTCAGTCCTGTTCATGCCAAGTTCTGTGGGCTGGGGCCTGCCTCTTGCTCACAGCTGAGCTTTGCTTTGTTAGCCATGGTTTGTCCATTGTTAGCTAGGCCTCAGGCCTCACATCAGGCCTGTGCTGCACGGGCTTATGTTTTAGGCCTCCATCTTACTACAGTGGGTAACCCTCCCAACCCCCTTCTTTGGTCCCTGTCCGTGACTGCAGCCTCGTGGTGAAAGCAGGAGTGCCCTTTCACCCACCACAGCCCACGCTCACCCTTGCCAGGATGGGGGTATCTAGGCACACTGTGGATTCAGGGCAGGTGGACTGATGCTGAACTCTCCCTTCACGTCATTATCAGGGAGCTGCAGGCAGTGCACCTGGTCTGCCAGGTGTTCCTTACCCAGCTGCAGGGCCAGTGTGTCTCAGTACTAGCAGACAATACCCCTGTGTTGGGAAGCCCTGCTCCTGAGAGATTTTGTATCGCCCATCGCATTCACTGGACAGTCCGTACCCATCCTTGGTGGAATGCCTCTGCCATTCATTCAGCACCCAGGAATGGGCAGACATCAGCCGGTCCATCACCCACAAGTGGGGTCCACATCCTCGCCAGGCAGACCTGCTTGTGACCAGGAGCAACAGCAAGTGCCACCTATTCTGCTCCTTTCAAAACCACAGCCCGGGGGCCCTAGCAGATGCTTTTCACTTACCCTGGTCAGGCTGACTGCTGTGCACCTTCCCCACTTCCCCTCATTCACAGGGTTCTGCTCAGTTTGCCAGGGCAAGGTGACCCTTATACTGGTGGCACCACATAGACCGGTAGCACCTTAGAAACTAACCAGTATATCTCTGTAGTATCCTGAGCTTTCATGGGTACAATCCACTTCTTCACCCACTAACAGATTTACTCACCATTCATGAGTGACGAAGTGGGTTGTGCCCACGAAAGCTCAGGATACTATGTATGTATGTTTCTGGTGAGTCTTGAAGGTGCTCCAGGACCACTCGTTTAAGTTCTCTTCAGACTGACAGCATGTTTCTTGTTCCACTAGACAAACTAAGGCAGCAATTGTCAGCTGCTATCTGCATTCTACCACCCTCATAAAATGAATCCCAGGAACTGAAATAGTTCTCCTTTAATGAAGTACTCCTGCACAGTCTTTATTTCCTATGTTGATCATTCATTTTTTATATCCTTTGTTCTTTTTTTATCCAACCAAGTTGGATAAAATCGTTTAAAGTATTTTCTTCGTCTGTTGCTAGTTCTGGGTATAGACAATCATTCAGATAAAATAACCAAAGCATTTCCCAGCATTGGATTGAGGGCCAGACCTGTGTAAATTAGCATAGCTGTGACCAAGGGAGATACACTGAGTTACACTAGCTGGGGATCAGGCCTGGTAACTTTTCACTCTCCTCCCCCCAAATTATGTCTTTTTATGCCCCTTTTGGTGGCAGGGACTGGAAACGTCAATATAGTGGAAGACACGGTTGTTTTGCGTCATGTCCAGTCCTGGCAATGCAAATGCAATAAATCTGTATAAGCATCTAAACAAACATTTTATCACTTTAACTGAACCAAACCTCTCAATAATCAGAAATTTGCTTGTGACTTATTAATTTTGATTTTTTCTGTTTAGTTTTCTCAAAAGGTATCTCAGATATTTAATAGGACGTCAGCATGGAAATTTTGTACCTTTTGTGCATTACTTGTAACAGTCTTCCTATTGGCAAGATTAGGGGGAAAACGTTTTTCTGTGGGTTCTCTTTCAGTGTTTTCCACTGTGTGTGTGAGGGTAGATTGTATCTAGTCTGGTTTTTGCTGTTTCCTGTTTAGTCAGTTTCCCCATTTGTGTGTGTGTCTCCCTCAGCAACAGGGAAGAGAAAAACATTGTTATAAAAATAGAAGAATGTGATTGTGAAACCACAAAACGTGCAAAGAAGACGGAGATTCAAGGGCAGGACTTGCTGATGCATTTAATTCGTCTGTTTGAAATTGACTTTTACTTTAAGTTGTTACTTTTGTTAATTAGTTATGGAGTTTATGGCCAGAGAGAGCCCCCCCGATCATCTAGTCTGAACTTCCATCCTGTCTCACACATTAAACTCTAGAACCAAATGAGACTAAAGTATAACAGTCTGCAGGAGACTGGACTGTTTGGTGCCAGTACCTGAGGTAGGGATGTTACATTTAGATTAACTGGCTAATCGAATAGTTGATGCAGTTTGCATCGATTATTTGAGTAGCTGATAAGCCTCTGCCTCTGACTTCAAAGGCAAAAGTGCTGGGGGAAGCATGGGGCCAGCGGGGAACTCAAGCAGTTCCCTGCTGGTCCCGTGCTCCCCCGCAGTCTTTCAAAGTGGGAACGCTACATGGGGACTCAGAATCCCCAGCTAACCCAGGGCTCCACATGGCGCTGCTGCTTTAAAACGCTGCATATAACCTGGGACCAGCTGGGAGTCCAGTCCCCAGCTGGCCCCAGGCTGCACACGGCATTTCAAAGCAGCAGACCCCAGGCTGCACGCGGCACTACCACTTTGAAATGCCATAAGCAGCCTGGGCCAGCTGCCTGGGCTGCACATGGAGTTTCAAAGCGGCAGCTCTGCGTGGAGCCTGGGTGCTGCCGCTTAGAAGCACTTCCTTTTCTGCCCCTCTCTCCTTGCTGCCTCTTTCTGATAGAGGCTGCAAGAGGGAGGGGAAGCGACTAGTTGACTAGTATGTCGACTATCCGATAAGACTTTGTTTATCAGATAGTTGATTCATCGACTAGTTGCTCACATCCTTAGCCTGAGGGCCTCCAGATAATCCCGCAAATGGCCTGTACACCAGGCTGCAGAGGAAAGCTAAAAAACTGCAAGTCACCACCAGTCTGACCTATGGGAAAATTACTTCTTGACCCCACAGATGATGGTCAGTTTGACTCTGAGCATGTGCGCAAGAAGCAGCCAGCTAAGCGTGAGAGAGAATACGTATTCCACCTCAGAGAGCGGACCACTCATCTCCAACAGTGGTCATTGCTGACCTTCAGAGGAAGAAGATGATTTGAAAAAAACAGAATACACTAGGGGGGATGGGAATCTTTTTCTGACCTCTGTACATGACCAGCTGAAGTCCTGAATGTTGAGCTTTAGGAGCATAAAACTGAAATATAAAGAAAGGACTTGTCCCCGCCATCACAACCAACCCTGACCTTCAGCTGGACTCAGAAGTTTGTCCAGCTCTCTCTTAAAGCTAGTAAATTGTTTGCCTCCCCGACTCCTCTTGGGAAGCTGTTCTAGAATCTCACCCTTCTGATGGTTAAACCCCTTCTTCTAATTTCCATCCTGAATGTGTTCATGGCCCGTTTGTATCCACTTGTTCTTGGGCCAGCATTATCCTTGAGCTTCAATAGCTCTGGCCTCTCCAGGGTGCCCCTCCACAGATATATTTAGAGTTTTGCTGTAGGACCTAGGTGTATTGCTTGGGACCAGGCCCTACTGTACTAGGTGCTGCACAGACTGACAACAGTCAGTTTTGCCTCTGGGATTTCTGTTAGTTTGGGGTTTTGTTTTAAATAGCCTTATGTGTAATCTGAGCTCCACAATGAAATATTTGTGTCCTGCTGTCTATCCCTAAATTTCAGTGCTGAATGTGAGAATAGCATCTGGCGAGAACTGTCATTCCCATAGGTCTGAGATTTCAGAGTGCTGACAGCGCATTTCAGATCAGTGTGTTAGCGATGGGGAATTCTCTCCGTGAGCACTATGGGATCAAAAGATTCTAGCGCTGTCAGGGCATCTTTGGGATCTCTGGCTGAGTGTCAGTTAAGACCCAATAGTCAGCCAGGTATTTCCTATGCACCCCTGGCTATTGCATTTAGCTGATCGATATGACTGTTGGCTTGAACTGGGCATTCCCAGTGCAAAGGGTTCAGCACTAGAGCTACATTCAGTTCCTCAGACTCCCACCATCAGCCCACCCCGAGTCCCAATTGGCTGTTGTTTTCATGCACAGTGACCAGGTCCTGCTCGGTCTCCAGCCCCACGTGCAGGGTCTCAGGCCTGGGGTCCTGGCTGCCAGCCCCAGCTCTTTGGGGCAGTGAGGCGCGTGGACAGAGGTAAGCAGGGATGCAGCTCAGCACCCCCACTCCAGAAATCATTTCCAGTGCCACTTTGGATTCCCGCTCAGTTTTTCCATCCACGGGCAGAATACATTTTGTTCTGTGCACCAATGTGTGTGTAGATGTGCCCCACCAATAGAAACACCTGCTGCCAACTGTGGGTTCTGTGGGCACTCCACTAATCAGCTGGGTGGCACCTGATTCTCTCCTGGGCGGCTGCTCAAGCACTCAGCTTCCAGGAAGCTCTGTGTCACAACCCGTTTTGTTTCTCTGAAGTCCCCAAAGAGCAAATGTGCACAAGCTCCTCTTGTCGCACATCTGTTTGCCTCTGCATGGTAAGTGCAAAGTTGTAACAGCTGCTTCTTCTTTGGGCAGTGTCCCCGTGGGTGCTCCACTGTGGGTGTCGGGCTCGTCCTGGCACTGCAGATGGGAGATCTTTTAGCCGTTGTCTTCCACATACGCGGTGGCCATCTTGCAGCTTTTTGTGTCGTTTCTTGCCGTGTTGTCCGGCTCCCACCAGTGCCTAACCCTAACCGTCTTCGGGCGCAGACGGAGAAACAGCTCCCTCTCATGTTAATCCTGTCAGGAATTGAGAGAGGAGAAAATTGTATATCGTTAGTTGTTATAGTAGTTTAGTACTTTATGGTTCATAGTTCAGTTAGCACGTTTAAAAAAAAATTTCTTCAACATGCCGGGATCACCAAGCTTTAAAAAATGCCTGACATGTCGAAAATCAGTGCCCGCGTCGGACGGGCACTCGTCATGTATCAGATGCCTCGGGGAGGGACACATTCCCCAAAAGTGCCCACATTGCTCAAAGCTGACAGCCAGGGCACGGTGCGACCGGGAAATGCAGCGCAAGATGCTTCTATTCGATAAAGCTCTTCAGCTGCAGGCGGAATCTTCAACCCAACCGCCGTCTCTCCCGACAATGGCTCATCGACCTTCTCTGGAGGCGACGCATACTGAGAAAAGCCGGTCACTGTCTCCCTCCCTACCAGCGCTTAGAGTGAACATGGGAGATGAGCTGGGCACCTCCAGAACGATGGTAACCCGCAGACCTCATAAGGTAAAAACGGTGCGCAGTACATCCGCACCAAGCCCAGCCAAAGTCCAAAAGTCAGCACCAAAGTCCAGCACCCAAGACCAAAGACCAAAGTCAGCACCGACGCCAGCACCCACCGCGGCACTGGCACCATCAGTACCTGCTCCCTCATCAGCCTCCAGCCTACTGGCACCGAGTATGCCAACCATGCCGGCACCAGGGGCCATATTGGAGCAGTCCGCACCACATACCTCAGCACCAATCCCATCAGCACCGAGCCAATTTGCACTGACGTGCACGGAACTAGCACTATCGGCACGGACGCACACGGCACTGGGGCCATCGGTGCCGACGCACGCAGCACTGGGACCATCTGCATCGGCGCATCATTCTCCGACGCCCCCATACTCGTGTTGAATAACAGCCCCTAGCGCTACACCACCCACGCCTTCCATGCGCCATTCTCCCCCTTCCACTGGCAGAAGAAGGGCACCAAGTCCAGAACAGGGGATCTTTTCTCCCGAACCCCTTTCTCCAGCTCCACCTCATCACACATCCAGGGGATTTCCACCCAGTATCTCCTCGACCGAGATACCATTACCATTATCGCTCACCTTCTCCAACCTGCTCATGAGGCAGATCTAGATCCCCTAGATCTCCCTCATACTCCAGGAGCTCTAGATACAGGGATGACCATACACATAGATACCACCAACCTTACTACAATGACCATTGGCATAGACATCATAGTTACCAAGAGCAATACTCCTATTCAACGCACACCTCACCTTCACTTGCTCCTTCAGTCACGGTCCGCGACAGGAGCAGATCTCCCACCTTAGCTATAATCAGACCACCTACCCCAACAGGTGATCAGGCAATCACAGTCCAGCAATCTACTGAGGAGATAGCGCATACTTCAGACACAGAGGGATCGCACCACAGAACCCCTACAGACATAGCGTCTTCTTTATCTGATGATGCCATCTTCACTGGAGAGGCTTCACCTTCAGATGATCTGAAGGATTTCCAAGAGCTATTCAAGCACATTACCAACAGCCAAAACGTACAGACAACATCATCTGCTGAGAAACTTACATCCCTCCCATTCATCCAAGGTCATTCTCCCACTGGATGAGACGATACTCGAGATAGCCAATGATAAATGGCAAACTCCTGCCACAACGCCTCCGACCAATAAAAGGGCCAACAAAAAGTATTTTGTGCCAGCCAAGGGGATGGAATTTTTATATAACCATCCTCAGCCTAACTCCCTGGTCGTCGACACAGCACAACAGAGGGCCTAAGCACCCCAATATAAAACCACCACCAGAGATAAGGACAGTAATGGCCTAGATCTCTTAGGCAGAAAGGTGTATTCCTCTGCCACGCTAACACGCCGAATGGCCAACTATGCGGCCTTATTAGCAAATCATAATTTTGACAACTATGTGAAATTAGCTCCTCTACTCGAACACCTCCTAGAGACTAAGCATCAAGTGCTCAAAGCAATCATCCAGGAGGGATACACTGCCTCCCGTTCAGCACTTCACATTGCACTGGACACAGCAGATGCAGCAACACGGACGACAGCTACATCCGTTGTAAAGCGCAGGGCCTCATGGCTTCATATGGCGGCAGTGCCAAAGGAACTCCAATCAAAAGTCGAGGACTTGCCCTTTGACAGGCAAGCCCTCTTTGCAGACAAAACAGATCAAGTGCTTCACTCGGGCAAAGATTCATGCATGACTCTCAGGACCTTAGGCATGTATACGCCCCCATACCGACGAAGAAGATACATGCCTTATCAGAGACAAAGGCCCTTCTTGTACACAGCACCGCAACCACAACAATATGAACACCAGTGGCCCAGACAACAGCCTCAGAGACGACCGCTAAAATCCACCAGCCCAACAAACCAACCGACAACTAATCAGCAAGTTTGACGCGTGGATCGAGGGATTGCAAACCATTCAAATATCACCTGCTCCAAATGCCAATACTGCGCTTTTCCACCACTGCTTAAGGCCCTTTCAACAACATTGGGCGGCAATAACAACAGACCAATGGGTCATGCAGCTAATAACATTAGGCTATATAATCCCTTTTACGTATCTCCCCCCAACCACCCCTCCCCTCCCGTCCCTCTTCAGGGACCCATCTCACGAACTCCTCTTCAAACAGGAGGTAACTCACTCGATATTGGAGCAGTAGAGAGGGTACCAAAACCCTTTGAAGGGAGAGGGTTCTACTCCGACTGTTTTCTAACACAGAAAAAATCTGGGGGTTGGAGGCCCATACTAGACCTTCGCCATCTCAACCAATGCCTACGCAAGCAACGTTTCAAGATGGTGACCGTAACAACCATCATACCAGCACTTGAGCAACAAGACTGGTTTGCTTCCCTTGATTTACAGGACGCCTATTTACATGTGACAGTTCATCTGGCCCACAGGCGATACCTTCGGCCTTTCGTCAGCCTCCAGAGTTTTCTCCAAAACACTGGCGGTGGTAGTGGCCTTCCTACGTCGACTAGGGATCATCATTTTTCCCTATCTGGACGACTGCCTCCTCAGAACTCAATCGTTCGATGAAGTGTTAAGTGCTGTCAACTCAACAAGAACTCTCTTCGACACCTTGGGCCTTATCATCAATGCCCTGAAGTCATCCCTCATACCACATCAATCCATAGAGTTTATAGGTGCTTGTCTCGACTCTGTTACGGCACATGCCTACCTACCCAGCTCCAGATTTCACACTATCCAGGATCTTGTACAGATTCTTACTACCAGTCCCACAGTTTCCATACTTACCTGCCTACAGCTTATGGGACACATGGCAGTGACAACATATGTCGTAGCAAACGCATGACTACATTTCCAATGCCTTCAGCACTGGATATCTACAATATACGCACCTCACAGACACGACGTACACAGAATGGTTACCATACCAAGCACAGTCAAGCAATCCCTGAAGTAGTGGACCATTCCCCACAACATGTGGGCAGGTATACCGTTCCACCGACCCCAGCCAACCATCCAGATTACAACGGATGCATCCCTACTCATCTGGAGGGCCCATATGCAGGACAAACAAGTTCAAGGTTGTTGGTCAGCCCAAGAATCTCTCTACTACATAAATCTACTTGAAATACGAGCTGTATACAATGCCTGCAACCACTTTCTTCCCTGGATCCACGACCAGGGAGTGCGAATACTCACAGACAACAGAACAACAGTCTATTACATAAACAGGCAGGGAGGAGCCCAGTCCCGTTCCCTGTGCAAGGAAGTTGTACGCTTTTGGAACTGGTGTAACCGACACAGTGTGTTACTGATGGCGGCATATCTCCCTGGAGAAGATAACACTACAGCGGACACGCTCAGCAGGCACTTTGCCCAACAGCACGAATGGGAACTACACCCTGAGGTTCTACAGAGTATATTCTCCTGCTGGGGTTAACCAGCGGTAGACTTCTTTGCCACACTATAATGAAGTGCGTTCATTATTGCTCCAGAGCGGGCATCAAAGGGGGATGCTTTCCTATACAACTGGAGTCAACAGCTTCTATACGCATTCCCTCCCATTCCCCTAATTCCCAAGGTCCTAGAGAAGGTGGCTATGGACAGAGCAAGACTAATTCTAATAGCACCATTCTGGCCGCACCAGACTTGGTTCCCTTACCTGTTCAGCATGTCTCCTCATCCTCTGTACCATCTTCCCAGTCGCCTCGATCTACTGACACAGGATCACAGGCAACTGCTTCATCCACAACCGGATCACCTCGCTCTGTCCGCGTGGCTCGTAACTGGTTCCAATGAAAAGAAATGAGCTATTCCAAAGCTGTTAAACATATTCTCTTACAAAGTAGAAAAGCTTCAACTCATAATACTTACCTTCAGAAATGGAGAAGGTTCCATGAATGGTGCTCACACACGGACCTGGACCCTAATGAAACACCCTTATATATCCATTTTGGAATATATTTTGCACCTCAAAAACCTCGGACTCTCTTTGTCATCTCTCAAAGTACATTTGGCAGCTATCACAGCTTTCCACCAGCCAATTGATGGCTATACGGTCTTCTCACATCCCGCTATGAGAAGATTAATCAAAGGGCTGACCAACCTCTTTCCTGAGCACAAGCAACCTCCAGACCCGTGGAAACTAGAATTGGTCCTAGACACTCTGATGCAATCACCGTTCGAACATTTGGGCACATGTGACTTCAGCACCCTCACCATGAAGGTGGTGTTCCTCTTAGCAATCACCTCAGCACGCAGGGTAGGAGAACTGGCAGCCCTTTCGGCTTCACCTCCCTATACCATTTTTACAGAATAGGGAGTCATCCTATGACCCCAGCCATCGTTTTTACCCAAGATTAATTCCAGTTTCCATGTAAACGAACCCATTATCCTGCCCATGTTTTATCCAAAACCACACTCCTCCAAACGTCACGCAAGACTTCACTCCCTCGACATCCACAGGGCTTTGGCATTTTATATCGAGAGACCTTGCAATCTGTGCAAGTCCCAACACCTGCTAATCTCTCTAGCTGACCGCTCCAAAGGTCTCCCACTTTCAGCACAGCGAATATCAAAAATAATAGTATTCTGTATTGTAAGATGCTATGAATTAAGAAACATCGTGTTGCCACATACCATTAGAGCCCACTCTACCAGAGCAGTGGCGTCCTCAACAGCCTTTCTCAAAGGAGTTTCCATCAAGGATATTTGCCGAGTGGTCTTACCTTTGCAAACCATTACGTGCTACCAAAGATCATCATGTCTGACATGGCAGTAGCCACTGCAGTCCTTTCTTCAGTGGCAATGCACCAGCTCTGCACACACTGCCTTATTCTGGCTACTGCCGTGGAATCACCCACAGTGGAGCACCCATGGGGACACTGCCCAAAGAAAAAGAAGTTACTCACCTTGTGCAGTAACGATGGTTCTACAACATGTGTGTCCCCGTGAGTGCTCCACGACCCGCCCTCCTCCCCTCTTCGGAGTCTGTGATTGTGTCTTTCAGGCCTCGACAATCAGGAGGAACTGGCGGGAGCGAAAAGCTGCAAGATGGCTGCCGCTCATGCGCGGTCCGGCAGACAACGGCTAAAAGATCTCCGATCTGTGGTGCCGGGATGAGCCTGACACCCACAGTGGAGCACCCACGAGGACATGCACCTCGAAGAACCATTGTTACTGCACAAGGTGAGTAACTTCTTCTTCCCCCTCACTGCCACTTTCAAATTCTCTGCCTGACTCACTCTGGAGAAAGCTTTTCCCCAGCCAGTCCCACATCTGTTTCTGTCGCTTGGGGAGGTTCTTCATGCTAACAAATCCCCTTTGCCTTTTTGTTTCTTGTAGTGAGACAGTCTGGGAGAATATGGCCCGTATGTGTGTGAAGACGCAGAGGCTGGATGTTGCTAAAGTTTGCCTTGGAAACATGGGTCATGCAAGAGGAGCTAAGGCAGTAAGGGAGGCGGAACAAGAACCAGAGGTGGAAGCCAGAGTAGCCATGTTGGCGATTCAGCTGGGCATGCTGGTAGGACTTCTTGTGGTATCTGGCCTATTTTCTAGTAATAAGCAAAGTCCAGACTCAGCAGTCTGAGTAAGATGCGCACGCATCCTCGCGCGTGAAGGCGGTGTGACTAAGGAACTTGGTGTAACACTGATGTATTTTTGCAAACTCTGGGAATGGTGCAAAAATCTTGGAGAAAAGTAAATTTTCAAAAACAATGAGATCTGTGGCACCTTAACGACTAATCTGTTTATTTGGGTGTCAGCTTTTGTGGGTAAAAACCACTTCATCAAATGAGCCCAGTTGCTGAATGTGTCATAGGGTTGCCAGGTGTCCGGTATTTTCACCTCCTGGCAGGGGAAAAAAATCAGAAAATACTGGACATTTTAGGTGTCCGGTATTTTCTGAATTTTTTTTACTAGACAGGAGGTAAAAATACCGGACTGTCCGGGTCACTACTGGACACCTGGCACCCTATCGGCGCATATATACCCCCACTGGCCCTACCTGCCCTCAGTTCCTCCTTACCACCCCGATGGTAGCTGGAGTGCTAAGACTGATAGTCCTTACCCCTAGTACTGTATATAGTTGTCTTATCTCTTGAGTGGTTTTTTCAATAGTTGTTTAGTAGTTTGTGTAAATAGTTTTGTAGATAAGGAGGGTTTTTCCCCTCCGGCCTCTTCCTGGCTGGGGAGGGGATACCAGGGCTGCAGGGATTCAAGCCCTGAGTGAAGTGCTTGAAACCTATGCCCTGTGGGGATCTGCATGACTCTTGCTTGAAGTGTCTCGGAGAGGCCCACCCGACAGAAAACTGTAACATTTGCAAGAGTTTCAAACCGAGGACTAAGCGTGAGAGAGACTCTAGACTCAAATTTATTTTCATGGAGTCCACCTTGCACCAGCCAGGCACCAGACCGCCTCTTTGAGGCACTGGTCACAGTCCCCAGCACTGAGGAGAGCTAAGGATGCCAGGGGAAGGTCCCCGGAGAGGCATGGCCACAAGGTGTGCTCTAAGGAGGGGCACTCAGCCTCAAAGGTGCTCCAGGATGTCCCGGTATCACCAAGGCAATGGCACAGCCCTTTGTGGGGAGAAAGTCCGGTACCGGCAGGGACTTTCAAGGAACTCCACCATCCGTCAACCCCAGAGACTTTCAATGCAGCACGGGAGCTCATTGAGCTAACCTCCCCGCAGGCTGAGGGCTCGGCACAGCAGGTGCCCAGACCTCCATCTCCAGCACGCACTGAAGGGCTTCCTAACATGCAGCCTCTGCAAGCAGCTCTGAGTCCATTTGAGCTGGCACTGAGGCTGGCATCAGGTCAGTGGGCGGCTCCAACACTGGTACCAATACCTGCACGCACTGCTTTCTTTGTGACGGTACTGCCCGGAACATTGTACCAGCACCTGCAGTCAGAGCTTACTTGGAAAGAATGGAACGTACCGGCACCTCTGTATGCAAATGCCCAACAGTCAGCTGGGCCGCGTGTCTTAAAGGGGCGAGTGTCTTAAAAGGGCAATGCTGGCCCCACCCCGTTTTGTTTTGTTTTTTTCCTTTTGCTCAACAACTTTTCCCTTGGAGTACTGGCACCTTTTATTTATTTTATTTTATTTTATTTTATTTTTTTTAACAAAAAAGCGCTGCCTGCACCGGTACCAGAAGCTGTGAGATGGCCAACACCCATGCTCCCGTGGACTGCATTGAGAGGCCTGCCCAGTGCCACTGATGCCTCCACGGGCACAGGTCCCAGTGCACGGGGGAAACCGGCAGCCATGGCTCACCACCAGCGGGAGCACACGTCAACGGCTCTACCGTGGTCAGCCTCTGATTATTCATCAGAATCAGAAGCTGAATCAGTACGCTCAGGGAGAAGATCTTCATATAGGTCGAGGTCCCGGCACCACTCCCGTTCTGAACACAGGTCCTGGCACTGGAGCCCTTTGGATACTCACACTTGGCCACCCCAGTGGCAGCCACATCTCAGTGGCCATTTTGGACCCCATGGGCCTACCATCAAGCCCAAGATCCACCTCCCACATTGTTGATGTTGGGGTCATCGCATCAGGAGAGGCCCCTTCAGTGACCCCTCTCCACAAGGCCCCCCATCCCCTGGTTGGAGGCGAGCCATTCAGGGGACAAAGATCTTACTAGACCTCCTGTCATAGGGGAGGGCCCTAGGCCCATGGTGCTTATGTCTGAGGCAGACCAGCTGGAACCTCCAGTGACCGTGGGGGGCGGTCGAGCTCATTCGTGAAGAATTCAAAGGAAGGGGTTTCTATTCCTGCTACTTCCTTATCCCCAAGGCAAAGGGGGGAATATGCCCTATTTTGGACCTAAGGGACCTGAACTCGTTTGTAAAGAAGACAAAGTTCAGGATGGTCACCCTAGCCTCTATTATTCCTTCCCTGCAGAAAGGAGACTGGTATTCTGCCCTTGACTTGAAGGGCGTATATTTTCATATTTCAGTGGTCCCCACCCACAGAAAGTTTCTCAGGTTTACAGTAGGTCAGGGTCACTTCCAGTTTACGGTCCTATCATTTGGCCTTGCTACAGCCCTGAGGGTCTTTACCAAATGCATGGCCATGGTAGCAGCTGTCCTGAGGTCCAGGTCTTTCCTTACCTGGACGATTGGCTGATAAGAGGGTCATCCCGAGAGCAAGTATTAAGCCACATTGCACTGACCAGGAGGTTGTTCTCTTATCTAGGACTCCTCATAAATAAAGAGAAGGCTCCCGCTCGACCCCACACAAGTGTAATAGAGTTTGTGGGGGCTCGCCTGGACTCTACTGTCGACAGGGGTGTCTCTGCCCAGAGTAAGGTTCTTGACCATGAGTGCAGTGATCGCAGACCTCCAGTGGTCCCCTATAACCAGTGCAAGAACATGTATGAAACTGCTGGGTCAAATGGCGGCTTGCACCTATGTGGTGAGTTACGCCAGACTGAAACTCCGACCCCTGCAGAAGTGGTTGTTGAGTGTCTACAACCTGCCATGAACACCACTGGGTGTGGTGGTCACATTGCCATCCGCTAGACTGGTGGCAGCAGGAGGAGATAGGCTGTGCAGGGGTCCCGTTTGTCAAACAGAGCCCATCGGTGCAGCTGTTTATGGATGGGGGAGCCCATATGGGGACCCTCAGGACTCAAGGTATGTGGTCCCCCGGGAGAGTTCCTTTCACATAAAGGTCAAAGAGCTCAGGGTAGTCAGGTTGGTGCGCCAGGCCTTCCTTCTCCAACTGGAGAACAGAGTAGAGACGGTGCTGACAGACAACACCAATCTACTATATCATCTACCCATTCTCTGTGAGGTCTGCCTCACCTATTCGCATGATCCATTATGCTGAATACCAGGCTCTTAATTTTTCGCTTGTCATTCATTCTGCAGATATGCCCGAATAGCTGTAACTTCCATTGTATAACCTTCTGCAGTAAGTTCTCTTTTGGCTGTATCTTCCTATATAATTCCTCGTTGGTAACCTTCTGCATCCATCCTATTCTCAGTATCTTTCTATAACAACTCCTCTCGAATGCCAATATCCTTCTCTTCAAATCTTTCGTTATCACCCATGACTCACATCCATATAACATGCTGCTAAATACACACGTTTTCAAGACGCTCAGCTTCATTCCTAAGCTAATCCCTTTACTTTTCCAGATCTTATCTATCGCCTTCAAACTCGCTCTTGCTTTCACTGTTCTAGTCGCTATTTCCTTCTTACAGTCTAGATCATACGTCATGTTGCTCCCCAAATACGCAAACTTCTCTACATTCTCTAGTTTGGTCCCATCTACACTGATCTTCCTTCCTATTTCCTTATCTCCAAATACCATTGTTTTTGTTTTATCGATATTCATAATCAGTCCATACTGTTTCCCTTTATCATTTAACACCTGTACCATTCTCGGTAGCTTCTCTTCATCTTCCTCGATGATAACTATATCATCTGTGAACCTCAAGTCGTTAATTCTCATCCCGTGTACTGATATCCCTTCTACCTCTTCCTTGATCTTATCCATCGCTCTGTCTAGGTGCGTGATGAAGATACTTGGCAATATCTGATCTCCTTGTCTCGTACCTCTACTCGTTCTAAACCAACTTCCCAACTCTTTGCACGTTCTTACCGCTGCCTCCGCGTTATCACTGATATCCTTCAACAACCGTATCAGCCTGCTCTCCACTCCATATGACTCTAAAATGGCCCAAGTCACTTTCTGATCTATACTGTCAAATGCCTTCTGAAAATCGATGAATCAATTGTAGATGTTCTTGTTCTTTTACTGTGTATTATATCAACAAACAACCAAACAGGGTGGAGCTCATTCCTCTCCCCTTTGCAAGAAAGCCCTAGAGAGTTGTGCATCACCCAGAATATCCACCTAGAAGCAACCTACCTTCCGGGGTCCAGCAATGTTCTGCTGGACAAGCTCAGTCGGTCTTCCAGGGGGATGTCTTCCAGAGGTGAGGTTAGCCCCGTCTGGACCTGTTTGCCACCTGAAGGAATGTCCAATGCCAGAGTTACTGATTATTCATGGGCCAGGGTCTTGGGACTCAAGGGGATGCATTACATATCCAGTGGCTCTGGGAGCAACTGTATGCATTTCCCCCCTTCCCACTAATTCATGAGGCCCTCATCAGGATCAGGCGATTCGGGGCAGCCGTCATCATGATGGTGCTGGCGTGGCCTTGCCAACACTGGTTCATCACACTGTTAGATTTGGTGGTGGAAGACCTGGTGATGCTGCCGTTAGTCCCAGACTTGATCACCCAGGATTTGGGAGAAGGGAGGCTGTGCCACATGAATCTGGCAGCCCTCCACCTAGCAGCATGGAACCTGTGTGGTTGACGGGGTTAGCTCACAGGAGGTTCAGAAGGTGCTGCTAGAGACTAGAAAACATTCTACCAGGGCGCTGTATGAAGCCAAGTGGAGGGGTTTTGCCTTGTGGACAGAGCAAAGGGGGGATAGACCCGATGAGTCCCACAATCCCCCTTATCTTGGGTTATCTACTACACCTTAGACACCAGGGCCTCGCTACATCCTCCCTGAAGGTGCATTTAGCAGCGATTGCAGCCTTTCACCCTGGGGAAGTCACAGGTCCATGTTCGCCAATACAATGGTAAAATGCTTCATGAAAGGGGTGGACAAGCGGTTTCCCTATATATGCCCCCCGGTGCCACCCTGGGATCTTAATCTAGTCCTGATGGGTCTCATGAAGGCACCCTTTGAGCCACTGGCCACCTGCTCTTTGAGACACCTGTCATGGAAGGTGGCATTTTTGATCGCGATCACCTCAGCAAGGAGGGTCTCAGACTGTGTCCCCATCTGGCTTTCCTCTCTAAGGTGGTCGCTGATTTTCATATGTCACAAGATACCTGCTTGCCAGTTTTCTTCCCAAAGCCTCATGCCTCACCTAAGGAACAGGCTCTGGATGTTAGAAGGGCTGTAGTGTTCTGTATAGAGAGGACGAGAGAGTTCAGTAAATCTCCACAACTCTATTTCAGTAGCCAAGAGGATTAAGGGCTCACCCGTTTCGGCCCAGTGCCTATCCTCCTAGAGTATCGCCTGCATTAAGGAGCGCTGTGACAGCGGGTAGACAGAGCGCTCTACAAGGGCACAGGCCATGTCCACAGTGTACCTAGCACAGGTGCCTATCCTTCACATATGTAGGGTGACCATGTGTTCCTCCATACGTCTCTCCTCTGAGCACTACACAGTTACTCAGCAGGCCAGGGCAGATGTGCCTGTTGCGAGGGCTGTGCTACAGTCAGTTGCAATGTAGGTAACGTTAGGCTCTGACCCCACCTCCTAGGGTACTGCTAGGGAGTCACCTAATTGGAATGGACATGAGCAAGCACTCAGAAAATCGTTACTTACCTCGTAACTGTTGTTCTTTGAGATGCTCGTGTCCATTCCAACTTCCACCCGTCGTATGACTCCATCAAGAAGGAACTGAGGAGGTGGAGGGCCAGCAGGGGTATATATGTGCCGATATACCGGTGCCACTCCAGGGGGCTCCCTGGCTGGCCCTACAGATACTGCTAAGGGAAAAAGCTCCAGAATCCATGCACACGGTGCATGCACACCTAACTCGAATGGACATGAACACCACATCTTGAAGAACAACAGTTCTGAGGTAAGTAACTGGGTTTTATATTTTAAAAACTCCAGCAAAATTGGGACCTAATGTGGCTTTAAGATTCATGTTGTCATGTGGACTAAAAACCATCCAGAGAACTGTAAAGTGAGGGTAATGATAAGCAGCCACATACTAGTACCAGGTTAGCTTATTTAATGTCTCCATTAATGATCACTACAAGGACTAAAGTTTTAATAAAATTCACAGACGATACTAAATTGAGGGCCAGTCAGGGTGCAGAAATAATAAATGATCCGAGAAGTTTAAAACATGGGTAGAAAATGAAAAGAAGAGATAGCTTAGAAAAAATACAAGCTAATTAGGGATGTAAATGGTTAATCGGTTAACCAGTTAACTGGTAAGCCTCACTCTTAACAGGTAAGGCTTCCCAGTTCTGGTTAACCGGTAGGAGTTAGAGTAGCCCCCCACCCGCCTTGGGCATGGGGCTGCTCCAGGGCTGGATTACCCAATGGGCAGACTAAGCATGTGCTTAGGGTATAGTATTGTTTTCATTTTGAATTACATATGGTGGGGGCACCATAATCTTTTCAGTGCTTAGGACCTCTAGAGGTCTTAATCTGGCCCTGGGCTGCTCCAGTGGGGTGGGCCTGGGCTGTCCCCCGTTGAGGTTAAACACGGGCTCCCCAGGAACGGGGCCGGCAGGGGATGCCAGGCCTGCTCCTGGGGAGGCTTTGCTGCAGGCTTTTATAAGCTTTATACTGCAGAGCCCACAGTGTGTAACCACTAGCAGTTATATGGTTACATTTTAAATGATTTTTTATACCCCTAACGTTAATATATCTAGGAGAAGCCACACTCAGCGGGGAGTAGAAAGCTGGAAAGCAGCATAGCTGATGGAGTCCAGCAACCACAAATTAAATACAAAATTGCAGTGGGACACAAGTAACAAAACCTGACATGATTTGGGGTGCGGTTTTTAGAGGCACCCCATTGTGGAGCTTTGATGTCATGGTCTGTCTAAACACCTGGGCTACATCTAGACTGGCATGATTTTCCGCAAATGCTTTTAACGGAAAAGTTTTCCGTTAAAAGCATTGCGGAAAAGAGCATCTAGATTGGCATGGACGCTTTTCCGCAAAAGCACTTTTTGTGGAAAAGCGCCCATGCCAATCTAGACGCGCTTTTGCGCAAAAAAGCCCCGATCGCCATTTTCGTGATCGGGACTTTTTTGCGCGAAACAAATCTGAGCTGTCTACACTGGCCCTTTTGCGCAAAAGGACTTTTGCCCGAACGGGAGCAGCATAGTATTTCCGCAAGAAGCACTGATTTCTTACATGAGCTCGTCAGTATTCTTGAGGAAATTCAAGCGGCCAGTGTAGACAGCTCGCAAGTTTTTCCGCAAAAGCAGCTGATTTTGCAGAAAAACTTGCCAGTCTAGAGACAGTCCTGTAGTGCACCAGCACCTGGAGTATTGCTTCCAAATGTAAATATCTCATTACTCGAAAAATGTGAACGAATAGGAGGAAGTTCAGAGAAAAGCAACTCAGACTGTTAGGATCCTGAAATGGATTCATGTAGAAGAGGCAAGAACTAAATATATGTAGAATGTGCTGAACAGCAGAATGTGCTAATAACCTACAAATATTTGAAGGGTATGAAGACCAAATAAGGTGGAAGAGTTGATATGAAAGCATATAACTAGGAAAATACAGACTGGATATTTGGAAAAAAGCTTCCTGACTGTGAGATTTATTAAGCTCTGTGGAAGGGGGGGGAAAGCCACTTTGTTGAACATTAGTCTGGGGGTGGGAAAACACTGGCAAATGTTCTTAGAGAAACAATCCTACATCAGCAAGGAGCGGGTCTAGAATAGGACCTAACAGGCCTCTGCCATCTCTAGGGTCTATTCTTCTCTGAAAATAAATGGGAATCAGTAGGGGCTCATCTAGACTACACTAGAGTGTCGAAAGAGGATATGCCAATTCTGTGGGAATTTGCAAATCTTTTTCCGATCTCACTTTTGTAAGCGGAGCTTTCGAAAGTGAAAGTAGTTTAGCTGTGGCTTTTATGGCGAATCCCCCCCCTTGTCGAAAAGCCGTGTAAACCTCATTTTTTGAGGAAGAGCAGCTTTTTGACCTGGGGGGAAGGGGATTCACCGAAAAAGCCGCATCTAAACTACTTTCACTTTTGAACGCTCTGCTTTCAAAAGTGAGATCAGAAGAGATGCAAATTCCCATGGAATTTACATATCCTGTTTCCACACTCTAGCATAGTCTAGATGAGCCCTAGGAGATAGAAGTTGTTCCTTCTGTCTTGCCACAATGTGTCCCCACCACTGTACACCGAGCTCTGCTGGAAAGCAATTGTGTGGGGCAGGAAAAGACTTGCCATAGTGGGAGTCCATCTCAAAGATTAAAAATAGCAGCTTTAAATGTTTTCTTTGCTTGTGACACCCTGGGCCAAACCCTAAGGCTCTCGCTCTACATGAAGTCCGTGGGATGATCCATTAGTAATGGTCTAAGACTGTCTTCTGCGGAGTGTCGGGGTTCTCCAAGTGCTGTGTCCTTGTTGGTGAGAAAACAGCTACACTTGGCAAAGCTGCCCCAAGTGCCTTACCTGGGCCAAATAGTCACCCTGGGCTATGCCAGCAAGTAGCCGCACTGTGAGCCATTTGATAACCTCCTGTATCAAATGGCTTAGTGTTGCTTCACAACCAGAATTTTATGACCGTTAGCTACTTATGTCTCTCCTGCTGCTGGTTAATATCACAGTAAATGCTGGGGTCTATGTGCTGTTCCTTAATTTCCTGTAAACATCCAGTTTCTCAGTCACAATGCTTTTATTCCAAGCAACATATATTTAGGAGGTTAAAATCCTTCTGTCTTAACCCTTTGCATTATGCAGTGCAATCCTTAGTCTGGAGTAACTAATTGCTCAGAAGTCCACTACCTACCATGCATTACTGCTTAGATTTAGTCCCTGCAATGTGCTTCTCAAAGCCCAGTAATTATTCACTGTTGTTTGTTGACTCTTGCAGGAAGATGCAGAGCGGCTGTATAAGAACTGCAAGCGCTATGACCTCCTGAACAAGTTCTACCAGGCTTCTGACCAGTGGCAAAAAGCCATGGAAGTAGCTGAGACGCATGACCGGGTTCACCTCCGCACCACATACTACAACTATGCCAAACACCTGGAGGCCACTGCAGAGCGCAGTCTGGCGCTCAGCTAGTAAGCAGCTTCCTAGACACGCTGAATCCAGAGCTTCAGCACACCCCTGGGGACAGCAGACGCCATTTGGGCAGGGATGTCTGAGGGGTGCTTGCTACTAATAGATAATCACTTTCTCCTTTTCTGCCCTCTTCCATCTGCCTATCTCAAAGCATTATTGAAACAAACCTGGCAATTGGAAAAGAGAAGCAGAGGGTCAGTTACTTGCCCAAGGTCACATGGAAAGTAGTGGAGTCATGAATAGAACTTGGATTTTCTGTCTCCCTGTTTTTTACCACGGTACTAGCCTTCCCCTTTGCACACTGTTGTACACATCAGCTCTGTTGTTAGAGAATTCTTGACCCACCTGAAACCTCGGGAATTAATTGTGGCTCACGTGTTGTGAACCTGATGCTTACATGGCTCCCAGAATTCTCTTCAGTGATTGCTAAGATGCTGGGAAAGTTGGCGGGGGAGTTGGGTTTTTTTAGAACATATTTAGTTTATGCATGACGCCCTTACGACGTCGGTCACTCTGGAGTAAAACAGGGTTTTGTGGGTGAGATGGGAGCAGAGGGCGGGAGTCAGTTAATGGAAAGAAGGAGAGGAGCGATTTGCAGATAGGTGGGTTAGTACAGTTAAAGGAGCAACCTTCCAACTGGGAGGTAGAGGGAGAAATTGCGCTGGAGATGAGCAGCAATATGAAGACTTGTGGCTGAGGTGAGGAGACAAGCTCTGTATTGAATACCCTCTGGCACAGCCTCCCACGCATTTCTGCTACAGCTGTGCTAGGTGTTTGTGGCCTTGGCCATAAGCACTTTATTGCCCTTCTGTAGCACTTCAGACTTCTGGCAGCTGGCTTGTTTTGAAGGCTTCAATGTGTATGTTAGCTCTTTGGCCCAAATAAACACTTTTTTCTGTACCCTTGTTAGCTCAATGATTTCCACACCTTGGTCTTACCAGAGCAGCACCTTGTCCTGTGTTTTTCCTTGGCGTATTGGCAGGACCGTACCAAATTCACAGTTCATTTTGGTCACTTTTACAGCCAGACGATTTTTTAAAATAGTACATTTCATGATTTCAGCTCTTTATATGTGCAGTGTTCTGGTGCTGTAATTGTAGGGGACCTGAGACAAAAAGGAATTG